CACACACAGCTCACAACAGACACAGATACACACACAGCTCACAACAGGACCATGAGCACTGTGGAAACCACAAACTTGACAAGTACAAATAGGTAAGGTAATAAAAAATATCACCAAACACTATAAGAATGGACTGGAAAAAACTGTATAAATATGAGGGTTAAGAATAAGATCAAAGAGGGGAATAAATGTGACTAAACTATTTTTCTTAAAAGATCCTCAAAAAAATTTGTTCAACTCAAGGTTACTTAAAAGGTCTTCAGCTTTGGTTTAAAATATCAACAGATGGCTGTTCTGCAGGTGCTAAAAGCATAAATCTGAATCTCTGACTGGTCTGAGGAACCCCAGCGATGCTCCTCAGATCAAAGAACCCCGGCCGGGTTGTTTTTAATGCCAAACGTGAAATTCCAGGTTGAAATGAGAAATTAAAGACAATTGCAAGGTTCTTTGCCAGAGGAGTGAGAAGAAACTTGTTTCAGTTTTTTACGATAAGCAAGTCTTCTGTGTTGTCCTTGCTGGGCTCACTCATGTTGTGATGCCTACAGTACATTAAAAAGAACCGGGCCTGAGATTAAGCCTTGGGGCACGCCGTGCTTTATCCAATCAGCCATAGGCGCTAATAGAATAATAAAATACCTCCTCAATGAAGGAGTTCTGCTATGTTTGACCACATCATATTCAATGAGAGCTCACACACACACGTGTCTGGAAAGGTTCATTGTCTATTTGATCTTTGATTATATTAATACGAGTCTGTGAGCTTTAAAAGGTCTATCAACCAGTCAGCCCACCTCCCATTCACACGTCCGCGGGTGGAAACATTTATTAAAGGAGGACAGGAACACGGAGAAGCTGTCAGAAGTGAGTGGGTTGTTAAAAGTGGAGTTACCTGCGGCCCTTTTTCTTTTGGGGCCCCTCTTGGTGGGCTTTTCTACCTTGGCTTTCTTTCCCTTTTTCCCTCTCTCTTCTTCGTAGTCGCTCCCTCCGTCCTCATCCTCCTCCTCTCCAAACTCATTCTCTTCCTCGTCGCTGCCGAAGTCGTCTGCAGACGGACGGGGGGGGGGGTGGTCAGCAGGTCAGCGCTGAGATGTGCACGTGAGTGCGCGCCTCACGGTAAGCGGGTTACTTACCTGCAGATTCATTTTTGGCTTTGGAGAGCTTTTCGTCCGAGTCCTCGCTGCAAGAAAAACAGGACAGAGACCAGATGAGACCGGGCGGGGGGGGGCAGCCTAATGCTGCCAGCTAAAGCTGCCCCCTTCAAACCCAACCCCCCATCCAGTCCTATAACTACAGGCTGCTATAGCAGCAGTAGCAGTAAGAGTGAGAACCTCACTATGCTGAGATTGACCAATCAGGACTCCTCTGCTCACCTGTCCTCTTGTGAGTTCTTTGAGCGCTTGTGCTTGGGTTCCCGGGGGGCTGCGCGGACCTTCTTGGGCTCGCCATCACCATACTCCTCATCTATGGGAAGCACGGAGGGACAAGGTGTCAGAGGGTGCTGCTTAGAAAAACCAGAGGGGATGGAGGAGGCTAAGGTCCTGCTGCTGGACAGTGTTAGGCCTGCTGCGGCCTACTGAGGTGGGCCTCAACCAGAGAGGCCGTCTTCCTGAAAAAACTAAACTAACAAAAAAACACAGGTGTTGAGTGGGGATTGACTTTCTCTGTCCAGAGCGGACTGTGTGGACATTTAGGTCAGTGTGCAGCAGCGCCCCAGAGTTCCATTAGAACCTCGTGAAGAAAGAGATGAGCCCCAGATTCACTGAGTCTGTGTGTGTGTGTGTGTGTGTGTGTGTGTGTGTGTGTGTGTGTGTGT